GGCTATTTTTTGGTTGCAGCCGTCATTGTTGTTTGGCGGGTCCGGGCTGGGGATTCGAACCCGCCACCTTAGGTGTACATGGCTAGCGCCTTAGCCAGTTGAGCTATAGGCGCCGAGCCGATCCCGTCTCTATTTCAACACTTCTGTGCTCTGCCTTCAGGAGAGATCCCAGATCCTCACTGGCACTTGTGGCCTTCCAGAACCTGGGGACTGCCCTGTCCAGCCCTACCTCCTATTCCCATTCTCAAGTGGTGGATAGTGGATGGCAGGTGGCAGATAGCCCTTCCAGGTCTCCACACTCTATTCCTATAGATTCCCCCCTTCAACTCCTCTAACCTCCAGGCCAGGCCAGAAAGACCAGGGGCTCCACACAGGTCTGTGGCACTGGGCCCAGCACAGGGATCCTGCTTGTACCTCCTCCTGCCAACCACACACCCTGCGCATCCCTATCACAAGGCCACCAAGATGGCCAACTCTGAAAGAACCATCTTAATCTCTACCCTGCTATAGGCCTCAGATTCCACCATTCCTGGTGCATGGGGGAGGAGCACACGGGACACAGCTAGATACAGTTTTATTGTGGCAATGAGGTGAACAAGGGCCGGTGTGGCCAGCACCAATGTAGGATGGTGGTGAGGAATAAGGGAAGGTGAGAAGGGCGGGGCAGGGCCCAGGGAACCCCAGGCTTGGGCCAGGAGTTGGGACAATCATTGTCAGCTCTACCCAGAAATGACTCCAGATCCCTCAGGTCCGGGGAGGCAAGGCAGCAGTGGGTGGCAGGGGCTCACACGTGGGAGAAGGCGTGGCTCTTGCAAAGGGGTTTGTCCTTCTTGGAGTAGAAGGTCTTTCCTTCCAGGTTGATCTGACATATCTGGGGACAGTGAAGGCCCAGTCACATGGAGTTGGGGACAGCAGGCAAACCTGTCATGTATCCCAGAGGCAGGGGTGGGGCTCTCACCGAGCAAACAAAGCACGTATCGTGCCAACTGAAGCCCAGTGCCTCTAGGAATCGGTCCCCGGCATCGATCTTGAAGTCACAGCCACGACATTTTGTGCCAAACATCTTCTCATAGTCTAGGAATGGAGGCAAAGGAAAGGGGCCTGAATTCGTACCCACCCCATGGCCCATCTCTCCTCATCCTCACCAGGCTGTGCCATACCTCGTTCACAGTAGGGCGCCCCTTCCTCCATGTAGAAGGCCCTATTCCGAATGGGTGTCTTGCAGGCAGCGCAGGTGAAGCAATGCACATGCCAGGTCATCTTTAGGGCATGCATGATCTCCTGCAAGGAGGAGGCAATCACTCAGCAGCTTGGCCCCCTCCCCTGGAATGCTGGACACAGGAAGGCTGGTCCTGGGCCCTCTTCCTTCTCATGGTTAATGATACAGGACTCCCACACCTGTCTCTTAACCTATAGTTTCCACTGGATGTCCATGGGCCTTTCAGATGTGCTGTATCCAAACTCAGCTCCAGATCTGCCTACCCCACCCTGCTCCTTCCCCAGCTGCACCCATCTCACTGATGGCAACCCCACCCTCCCATTTGTTGTAGCCAAATTCCCCCCTTTCCCTCACACTCCACATCACATACAGCTGCACCTCCAAGACACATCCGGATTCAGGCCACCTCTCACAGCCTCCCTAATGTGAGCTGTTAAGCTCTAGCCATCTTTGGCGCAGGTGACTGTACAAAACCACCCTGTGTGCTCTGACCCCAGCAGCCACACTAGGCCTATTCAACCCAAGCCAGGCCATATCCCCTGCTCAAAACCCTGTAGTGCTTCCCATTTCTCTAAAAGGCAAACAGGTGTGGCCTTCCCCAGGGTCCTACCTTGCTGGCCTCTTGCCCAAAATTGACATGCCATGTGTACTCTCTTGGGGCTTAAGACTTGCTGTCCCCTAGGCCTGGATGGTTCTACCCCAAGTATCTCAAGCCTCACCCCTCAACCTCCTTCGTTTTTGTTCAGATGTCCCCTTCTATAGAAAGCCCATTGTGATCACACCAGTCCACACTCCAGCTCACCTTCTCCTGCCACGCTCCCAGTTCCTCTTACTCTGTAACACTTCTCTTCCTAACATGCCCCAGATAATCTACTCACTGTGTCTCTCCCTGCTTCTTTCTGACAAATTGTAAAGTCCAGGAGGGCATGAAACACCCAGTCTATTAACTGATCTGCCCAAATAGTGCCTGGCCCTCAGTGGCAAGTTAACTCAGCTCACTGTGGGTAGAGTTCTCCGAGGCTGGCCTAGTCACCTCCAGAGTTCTTGGGTAGGGTGCTCAGACGTCCTGCTTTTGAACAATTTGTCCCACGGTGTTTTAAAAAAGTCCCGATTTTTGGAAAGAATGCACCAACGGGTGGGAAGACAGGAAGGGAATATACAGTTTTCGGCTGCCATGTGGCTATTTCTCCAGAATATGAGTTTTATATTTTTGTTAATTTTATAATGTTAAACTGTAATAATAACAAATAATTGT